GATTCCACCTTCTACCTATGAGAATGGCTAAGAACAGAACCACACGTGAGAAAACATGCTGAAGAGGATGTGGAGTGACAGAGACAATCTTCCATTGCTGGAGGACAATTATGCTGGTTATTTATTTATAATAACCAGACCTGGAAAACTCTTTATATCCCTCGATTGAAGAATAGGTAAAGAAAATGTAGGACATTTACACAAGGGAGTGTTAGTCAGCTGTTATAAACTACAAAATCATTAAATTTAAAGGAAATTTGATGGAACTAGAAAAAAAAAATATCCTGAGTTAGGGAACCCAGACCCAGAAAGACAAGCATGGTATGTGTTCATGTATAAATGGATATTTTCTGCAAGTAAAAAACAAAATTAGAAACAAAGAGAACAATACAATGAATTACTAAAACAAAGGATAAAATAAACAGTATAGATAAACCTTTATCCAGATTAAGTAAAATGCAGAGAGAGAATATTCAAATTAACAAAATCAGAAATCAAATCATGCTACAATCCACAGTCCCAGAGAGGTTAGTTAACAAGGAGGGCACAAGGGGGAGACTCAGATCTCCCTTGGAAGGGGGAATAGAAGAGGTTAGGTGTAACCTTGCGAGTCGGGCAAGGGCCTGGAGATTGAAAAGAAGACACAGAGAGACCAGGGTCATTCGAAAGGAGATGAGCCTAATGCCACTTTATTCAGCATTGGGGGAGTCCTTATCTACCTGACTGCAGCACAAGGATCTCTGCCCAGGCAGGTGGGAAATTACCATATTAACAATGGAGTAAATGCCCTGCAGCTAACCACCAGGTGGGGCAGGCATAGCACAGAAACACACAGGAAGCTTAGTTAGCTGATCATAAACTGTCCCCATAAATGCACCACAGGAATAAGGGAGACCAGGGCCCTACAGTTAGGTAGCTGAACTGGGGGCATGGAACGAATGTGAACATGAGTCATCACATGGGGGTTGTGTGAGAGGAGGAGTACCGAAAGAGCTGAGTGGAGAAGGGGTTTCTCCTCTTAGCAGTAGAAACTTTAGCTAAAATAATTGTAAAATATAAAAGTTTAGGTTTAATTTATGGCAAAGTTTGAAATACTTTTCATATTATAGTATCCATTTATATTTTGAATATAAAATGTATGATTATTTCATTCATATGTGTTTAGATGCTAGATTTTATTTCCCTCCACCAAGTATAAAAATTTTATATATTAGAATAAAAATAAATATTTGTGTCATGACATCTTAAAAATATTTTTATAATGGCTTCAATTTAAAAGTTTTCTATCACATAGCAATTCTGTAATTGTTGGAGACATGTAGTTACATGAAATTTAAGTCGTCCAAGCATAGACATAATACATGTGTCAAATTACCTTGATAAAATTGTGTTTTTGCCCCACAATTGATAATGGTTAGTATTGAATATTGCATTCATTAGTCATTTACTGAAATTATATTTTACTCTATTTTGCATTTATGATAAAAATGAGTGAACTTGATGAATACTTAGTCTTTATTCATACAATCTTATATACTCATTTACTAAAATTATGAGTGGAACCAAATGTTTTTGTTCAAAACTCGTTAGAAATTTTCCAAAACAGCAACTTCTCAAATGCTAACACTCCCTGTTCTTTATCCGAGGTGTAAATATCACACCAATGCCTTTGTCAGTCTTATTTCAGTAAGTATTAGAAACTGTTGACTTGAGAAAAGTAGATACCAGTTTTCATTTGAAAACCACCCAACCTGACACAAGAGATATCATTGCAAACAACTAGAGGAACAAATCAAAGAAAGGCCTTTGAAGTCTAGATTTTTCTTCACATATAAGATATTATAGTCATTAATTCACGCCTTTGGTCAACAAGTATCTTAAATAAAAATTTCTTCATGATTATTGGATAGTCTTCAATACAAAGGTGATCAATATTTGGTCTTCCTTCTAAAAAAGCTTTAAGATTTGAACAGACAGAGAGAGATCCATCTAGGAAGCATTCTGTGTTTTTCTTTGCAAGATATTTTGCAGTGTCTCCACAGACTTGTTCAGTCTACACGAGCAAATATTTGAAATTTAGTATATTTAATGATTTTTCTTTATACACATATATGAAGAATAACTCAATACATTTTAAAAGTTCGCAGTGGTGTCATTACTCCCAAAAATGTTCTAAAAGACAGCTTCTAACTTTTTAAATTAAAACCTGCATTGCATATTTAGAGTCAGGCTCTGACAATATATAGCCCTGATTGTATATGAACACATAGTTACCAGTCTACCTTCACCTCACTGTTGCTATAATTGAGGTGTGAGTATTCAGTACTTGGCAGAATCTTTTTTTTAATGGGGTTGTTGACACAAACTCCTACAATAAGTAGCCCAGGCTGGCCTCAGTTAAGGGTGTTTTGTTTGGCTCGATCTCTGACTCTGCAATTATAAACTACATATTCATCTTTCACTGGAGAATTTCTGCATGAATATTGTGGTTCTTTAGCTTGTAGTTTTGGATAGACTCTGAAGAGTGGGAATGGGTGTAACTCTGAATGCTTTGCCCACTAATGGACCTATTTCCTTCTAATGGGTTGCTCTGTCCAGGCTTGATAAGATGGTATATGGCAAGTTTTATTGCATTATGTTATGCCAAATTTAAAATAAATATTTCTTGGAGGATCACTCTTTTCTGAAGGAAAACAAAGTAGAAGTGGGTCTGAGGATGGGGAAACGGGGGTCACTGAGATGAGTTGAGGTGTGGAGAGGATGGGGAAAAGTGATGGAGGAAGAAGAAAGAAGAGATTGTGTTTGGAATGTATTGTATGAGTGTAGGCCTAGAGGAATTTGGGTTTATGGTTCTATTATATTTGGAAAAAAATTAGTCATTACTATAATTTTTTTTTTGCTTTCATACCATTTCTTCTTCTTGGTCTGTAATTACACAGTTGTTTTGCCACATTATATTACTCTACAATGACACTTATTCTTGGCTCACTAATTCTATTTCTTTTTATTCTATACTTTCTTTTCAGTAAATTTTGTTTCTGTGGTCAAATTTTATGATCTTCCCTAGACAGCACCTAACTGATCCAGTACACTTTATATCAGAGTCTATGCTTCTATATCTGGACAAGTCATAGCGGTACATTTAATATTTTATTTCTTTTTTCATCATGAAAAAAACACATTGATTATGTGTTTTTTCTTTCTAAAATAATTTGATCAAAGCCTTAAAATGAAGCAATTGTCAAAGAATATTGAGCATTGATGGTTTCCCCTCATAGTCCATGATTATTTGAGATATTGTTAGCCTTTCATGTTCTTAATTAAATATTAAATATTGTTATTTTTGAATTCTGCAATCATCTGAATTACTGTATTAGCAATATAATATATTTATTGAATATCATTGACCAACTTGACATCATATTTTATTAGGTTATAAAATACTTTAAGTAATATATATATTAAAATCAGATAAAAGAAGATCCACTTTCACCATATTCCCATTAAAAATCTTTTACTGACAACCTATAAACTATATAAATCTTATTAATTTCATTTGAATTACATATCTTGAGGGCAAAGCTTTTTTGTCATTATTTTTGACATTCTATTTAAGATTTCTTCATTTTGGGTTGTGAGCCTAGCATTTATTAAAAAAAAAAAAGATTTCTTCATTGTTTTTTCAGTTCTTTCTTTTAACATTTTAATAATTGCAGAAGATCATACCTAAGCATGAATTTATTAAGCCAACTGATACGCACAGCATCTACGTCTAATCTTGGCATTTCTATTCCTTTCTTCCAAAAGTATCAACAACAGTATTCCGTTACAAAGATTTTCATGGATCATTCTGTAGGAAAAGCAGTGTGGGTTTCGTTGTGTGAATACACCATGCCATTGTCTTATTTCCCTGTATATCTTTACATTATGAATGTCATGTCAATTGATATAATGTATCTACTATTAATCTATGCATACATTGCTTATGCAACAGTTTCTCTATTTTCACTTGCCTATTTTTCACTAAAAAGCTTGAATAGACATTTCCCGATAACTAAGACTGCAATTTCTGCTCATCTGTATCATTTCCCAGGTGTATTCGTATCATATTATATAGTTCATTGATAATTTTTATTTGCAATAATAACAAAACTTTTCTAAACTTGTTATGAACATGGTTTTCCAGGCAGAGTTTCTCACTGAATCCAAAACTTTTTTTTCCCATCTATTGAAAAATGCAGGGTCTTTTTTTTCCTTTAATATGTGCATTAACACACTTAGTATTACATGGGATTTTGTGTATCAAGTTTTTCAACTCATTATCAATTTCTATGAATATTAAATCACGTTTATGGCTATCTATCCTTTGGAATAAAATAAACATAGTTCTTATTACTGTTCTGCATTTACAATTCATATGTAACCAAACAATTAAACATTTACTGGGACTTCACTTCCATTTATTCTTGGGAAATACCAGAAAAAAAAAAAAGGTTATTTCTTGTACGTTGAAGGATTACAAAACTTTCTTTATATTTTGTTCCAAATTATCTATTAATTATATTTAAATAAAAGCAACCAGCTAAATAATGTTGGGCACAGTGTAATCACATCTTAAAAGTTCAATATTTCTGAGGGAGTAATGTAGAATGCACAGGGTATGTTTGTCATCTATATTTCCTATGTTAATGCCAGTGTTCCTGTTAAGACATTTTATTAACACTTTCAACACAATTTCAGAGGAGATCCATATACTTTTTGACAAACTAGTATTTTAACCTCATTTAGTTTATTCATAAGATATTCTATAGAACATGTGGTTGTAAGAATTTGAAGAAACATTTTAAGAAACATTTGAACTATTGCTTTCATATTAATAGCGATCTGATACAATCAGAAAAGGAACTGATTGAATTGTATGTTATCCAACTTATGAATATCTGACTAAAGAACAACATTACAATCATAAACTTCTTTTGAACCTACAAGAGAAAAATAACATACTTCCTGGAAAAGGAGATACCATGATTATGAAGATAATTTTCTTTGTATTAGGTTTCTTCTTTGCACTCCAAATATGCTGACCCTTGTGATTTTTCATAACACAAGAAAATTAACTGCATAATTTGTGGTAGTGGAGACCTCCTTTGCACTCTCCTCTAAAAATAACAAAGAAGAAAAGAAAGACTTAAAAATCACAGATTTTAAACATAAAAGCTTTTTGGTCATTGGAGCATGAATTAAATACTGTTGAACTCCAAAAACATGAAAATTTTTATCAGAAATCATCAGGGAATAAAAACAATTCCATGGATTATTTACATCAAATATATGCTAGAATTTTGGAGAGATGGCTTAGAGATTAAGAGAACTTGTTTTACAAGAGGACCTGGGTTCAATTCCAGTACCTATGTTGGGCATCTTACAATAGCACATAACCTTAGCTTTGGAGGACTCTGTGTTCTCCTCTGACCTCTGAAGACACTACAGATCCATGGTACACATTCATGATGAAAACACAAATGCACATAAAACAGCAATAAACACACACACTTAGATGCATAAAGAGGGGGACAGAGAGACAAAGAAAAAGACAGAGGAGGGAAAAGGAGGAGATAGGGAGGTAAGAAGAAGATACAGATATGAGACATGGATGATAGATAGACGGACAGATACATAGATCATAGACAGCAGAACAATTACAAAAGAGATAAATGGAAATACTGCAAAACACATACACACACACATACATGTGCTGTTAAAGGGATATTGAACACAAAGAAGGTATTTCAGAGTTCAATGGTATGTACAGAACTTTAACAATGAAATATGAGATACAGCTTCACATTTCTGAGATTTATAATTCACATTAACAAGTAAAGGGAATAATTGTATACATTTTGCTGATTTTTTTGTTCCTGATGTTATATAGATAGCATCAGAAATATTGGGAAAAATGAACAGTGTTAGGCTCTTCAAAAGGATGCAGAATTGTGAGACAAACCCTTGATTGTTCAAATGAAGTGGAGATGATTCATTTCTTTCTGGTTTCTATTGAGTGGAGTATTGATAATTATTGGGAGGACCTTTAGAAAATTAAGATACCCTTGAAGTAATTTTATTTTCCTAAAAAAAAGCTGAGTTAAAAATGTCAATGGAGATGGTAGAAACATATAAACAAACACAAGCATTTTCATTAGAATAAGATAACATGCAAGGAATTTTAATAATAGAAATTGAAATTAAATATCAATAAAAATAATGATTAAGTAAATATATTGAGGAATAACAGGTGCACAGTTTTATGTGTATTTGAATATCTGTTAATCAGAATGTCTAAAGTAGCTGAAAAAAGACCACTGGCACTCAGTGATTCCTGCAACTTTCTGCTTTTTAGAGCATTGAAGTTTTTGGTGATCTATGCTCTTCAAGCTCTTTGAAAATTGTATAAACACCCAACTCCTTCCATAAAATGAAAACCTATCTAAAATGCTCTTACTTAATCTAGCTTCAATTTTCTTTTTTTTTTTTTAAAAAAAAAAAACTGACTTGTTTGTCAAAGAATTGTAATTTAGGAATGACAGAGACACAGAATCTTATGGAACCAATGGAATACATATATTAATATTTTAACCCTAAGGACAAAGAACATCAGTATTGTTTTAAATTAAGATTCTTGTTATGTATTTTTTAGCACCCTGAAGATTACATTATTTCCACCTAATAAATTTCTGTCTTTCTTTAGTTTAATTGGTGAAAGTTTTCCTGTAATATATTGCTTGTTTGTTATTTATTGTATTATCAAGTAGTAAACTTAAGTATCTCAAACAACAGAAACTAAATTTTTCAGCCTGGGCATATAATTGCAACATTAAGGTGTCGGGGGTAGTCATTCCTAATTAGGGTTAGTGGGTTTTGGGTTCTCGTCCACGCCTGTGTCCTTAGCTTCAAAATAACTTACTTCTCCCATGTCTTCACATCATATTTTCCCTGTTGCTTTCTGCAAAAATTATATTTTTTTCTTATATGATCACTAGTGTTTGGAGCAGAGTCATTGGTTACAATTATACTATAATCTTTTATGTTACCTCCATCCTTCGAATAAAACTATATCCTGAAAAGAAGAAAAATCCTAAGCTACCAGGACTGGTTGTGAGAAGAAAGGAGGAAAATGTGAAAGAGGCACAAAATATGAGATAATAATAAAAATAATTTGACCAAAATCTAAAATTGTAATAAGCTTTACCCTGGAATCCCAAATTAGTTTGTTTTAATAACAGAAAATTGCATTTCTATTGATAATTATACTTTTCTTTGGTTTTGCTTTGTATTATTTATGTATATAATAACAGCATTTCAGAATTTCCAAGGTCAACTGTTTTTTCGATATGTTAAAGTTATCAAGATGGGAAATATGAATCATACTTGATTGGTGATATGGGAATATTGAATTGGTATGAAATTAATTTTTCAGCCTCATTATTAAAATGTCATTGTTTTCACTGTTTTTTCTATTTTGTGAGATAACACCCTCAGAAAAACAACTTAAAGGAGAAAGAACCCAATTCAACTTCAGTACTGAGTTGTAGTTCATATGGTAGAGAAGTCAAAGACAGAGATGTTCAAAGAATCTGGGCACACCACATCCATACTATAGAAAGAGAAAGGCACAAATATGCGATAGTATTCTGCTCCCCTTTTTCATATTCTATGCAATTATTAGTTATACTTTTTAATTAACATAATCAAATATTACACTCCACAGGCAAGCCAAAATACAAGCCTCCAATGTAATTCTAGATTCTATCAAGTTGTCGCTAATCCTAACAATCATAATAGTGCTACAGAAAATGTTTTGTTTGGTGATAAATGGAGTGTGAAATATTAGGCACGTTTTGACTCTGAAGAACTTGATACATCTAAAAGAAATGGGTAAAATCTCAGTAAATTGTACAAAGGGATCACAGGCAGAATGAGAACATGCAACTGTAATGTCTTAAGAAACAAAGTAAATATTGTATCCAAAACAATTTATTCTTTTACATTCCAATAAAGGAAAGTAGTAAAAAAAAAGGCTTTGATTAGAAAAATAAAATAAAATACAATGAAAATGAGTAAAAATATAAAACCATAAAACCCTGCAGCTGTCTAATGGGTGTCTTGACTGAAGAAAAGCAGATACATCGTAAGGCTGTTCATCATTCCATAATTTGTTTTACCAATAATGAATTATGTCATGCTTAGTTTTCCCACAATATGTACTTGAATCAATATAAAGGATGTTGTATAATACGCCTTATTGACGAACTCAGTGAGAGATTTGCCATAGGAAAATTAGTAGTTGAACTACTTGATATATCATGTTTGTGTCCTACATTAGATTAGGTAACATGAGAAAAACAAAGGATATGCCACCTCTGTCATTTATATCTTTTTTATATTGCCTTTCAAAGACAGTAAACTTATATAAATAAATAAAATGGGTGGTAAAAAACCTTAATGACATGCTACTTGATAGGATTTATATAAGAAGTCATTCAGGTTAATGTATGTTCGTGGTTTTAGAAGCTACACTCTAAGGTGAGATGATGAAATAAGTTTTGTCTCTGGAGTATAGAGCATGATGACAGAAGTATGGTTAGGAACAAGTGTGCTTATTTCTAATTTGGAACCATATGAAAGGGTCTCTGCTGCAGAATTCATCTTTAATTGATGAGCTTCTGGAATCTATCATATTTACATCAAAGCAGATAAGTTCAACATGCTCTCAATCTATGTGATACTGATACTTACAGTTTATATTACTGAATAAAATATACTTTCCAAAAAATGAAGAAAAAGATACACCTGACAATATTGTGATTTCACTTTTAGAATAGCTTACAAAATCTAAAATAAGTAAGACTTCCCATGACAATTACAATAAACAATAAACATAACACTTGAGATCCAAAACAAATCTTCTAATCTTTTTTATATATTTATATTCGTTTTAGTGATTTTGATATTATCATTGTTTATGGCAAGTGAAATATAATGTGTATTATATAAATGTGGAAATGAGTCCAGGCAATATGGATGGCCTTTGCAAGGGAAGAAACTATTCAATAAATACTTGTGAAATCTCTGGAGTGAGGGGATGAAATTCTTTGCTGACTATAATACATGTATTTTCTTATTATTCTAATATAAAAGTCATAATAATCACTTCTGTGTCAGAAGGAAATACTCTCATTTTGGATGATGGCAAAAGAAATATCTTTACCTTCTCTCCTTGTCTGTCCTTTACCCAACTTGATATTTTGGATCCCTCATTTCCTCCTCCCCACTCCTCTAAGAGATACTTTGAAAGAGTTAGCTTTTGTGGCATCAGGGAGAAACCAGGCAGTAGGGAAACTCCAAGGAAACCACAAGTGCATCTTAAGCAATAATAGAGAGGACACCTAAACTGCCTTTCCCCTGTAATAAATTGAAGATTATCTTAATTGTAATCATAGAACCTTCATCCAAAAAATGATGGAAGAAGATGCAGAGATCCACAGCTAAGCACTGGGCCTAACTCCTGGAGTTCAGTCACAGAGAGGAAGGAGCGACACTAAGAGCAAAGGAGTCAAGAGCATGTTGGGTGGGGGGATACACACAGAAATAGCTGACTCAAAATAATGCCAGATCACTGACCCCAGGCTGACAGCTGAGGAAACAGCATAAGACCAAACTATGTCCTCTGACTAAGGATGTCATTTGTTTGGTTTGTGAAAACCATAGCAGTATTTGTGGAACCAGTATTTGTCCCTACAGCCTGTACTGCCTCTTTGGAGCCCATTTCCTAAGGAAAAATAGCTTGTTCAGCTTAAATATAAGGGGAGGGCCAGGATGAAGGTCTTGTATCTAGTGAGAGACTTTGTTGAATCCCCATGGGAAGCCTCACCCTCTCTGAGAAGAGGATGGGGGTGGGGTGAGTAGAAGGTAAAAGGCATGGGAGGACAGGAGGGAGAGGGAACAGGGATTGGTCTGTAAAATAAGATTGTTTTAAAAATATAAAGAGAAAGAAATACTTTTACTTTTATATGTTTTTCTAGGCTGTCAGCTACTTTGTCAGTTCAAAGAGTTAATGTAAGCTTTGTTACCTGTCTGCCACAAAAAGGGCCAAAGTGATGGA